GGCAGGCTGAGGCTGAGGCTGAGGCTAATGCAGGCCACTGCGACTGTCATCGCGAATGCGACTACGACTGCGAGAACAGCAGAACTCTACAACTGGATTCTCATCTGAATCTTAAGGGGGATGCTTCCAGATATGCTCCTACACATCGCTGTTAGGTTGCTTTGCCGGGATAATTTTGCATTGCTTTGAACGGTATTGTGTTGGTTTGCCTTGCTTTGCGTTGCGTTGATTTCCATCGCTTTGCGTTGCCTTGCCTTGCCCTGCGCTGCAGTGCTTTGCGTTGCCTTGCATTGCGTTGCTTGTCCTTGCTTTGATTTGCTTTGCGTTGTTTTGTTTTGCACTGCTTTGCATAGCTTTTGGATGCTTTGCTTTGCCTTGCTTTGCCTTGCTTTGCTTTGCTTTGCTTTGCTTTGCATTGCTTTGCCTTGCTTGGCATTGCATAGCTTTGCGGGCGTTGCATGTTTTTTATTTAACCGCTTCGCTCATTCCGCCGCCCCATATTGCCTCGCCGCTGTCGTTTGTCGGAGTGTTGTTGTCAATGCGGTGCCGTTGGGCGGCTGCCATTTTTCCGAGGCGGAGGGTAGTGGGTCAGAGGCCTCATGGATGTTGGTTGAGCTCTCCGTAACCATTTTGGCTCAAGAAGGTTCGGCTCAACTCAAGGCTGTGGTTGCGCAGCCTCGCCCTTTAGATGCGGCGCGACTCTGGCCGCTGGGCAAGCCATGCCGCCCAAACATCTGCTGACCACCAAGAACACGTTCGTGGACTGCAAGTCGCCGTGGCTGGAGCAGGTCGAAGTGGCTGAGAAGCCCAGCTCCGATCCGGGCCCTTGCACCGAGTCCTCGGCCACCTTCTCGGGGTCGTCAGAGCGGGTCTGGGCGGACGTCATGCACGTTGTGGTCCGCTCGTCGCCCGCGGAGACGTCTGCCCCCGAGGGCCCTGCTGAGAGTTCGCGGGCGGCGGAGGAGGCGGAGGGGAGCCGTCGTGAGAGCCTTTCGAGGACGCAGCGCCGCCGATTGCAGCGCAAGAATGCGCAATATGCCGCCAGTGGGACGTCGCCTGCCTCCTCGTCGGCGCGCGGCTCGGACCCGAGGGAGTCTTCGTCTTCCAAGGAGAGCCCAGTAAATGAGCAGCACGTAGCAGCAGCAGCACGCAGCACGCAGTATAAGCAGCGCTTGTAGCAAGAACCGCACCAGAGACGTCGACCCCGCGTCGAAGAAGATGGCGCTATGAGGGACCCTCGCCTTCCAGTGTTTGGGCCATCTCCTCCTTCCATCCTCCGCCTCCATGCTGATTAGTTTGTCCTTCCTTATTCTCCTCAGCCTCCGCCTCTTCGCAGCTTTGCGAGAGGATGCGGCGTCAGGGCAGTTAGGGCGTGTGCGGAAGCTACAAATCAGAAATTCTGTGCTGATATCTAGTTTCCCCTCCCACCTCCGAACATCCATCCCCACCTCCCCGAGTATCAAGTTTTTCGGTGGCCATGGCCCACTTGCCACACTTCTGCATGTTTCACACTTGACAGACCACCTTTGAGGGCCTAAGAGGGTGGGGTAGCGAGGGCAGACGAGGGGCAAGGATGCAGCTGAGGGCCAAGGGGCCGGGCAGACTCGGGCGAAGCATCTTAGGGTCGAGCAGTCTCGGCCGAACAATTTCGGCCAAGATGCCGAGCACGCCCTGGCTGAACGAGGTCGGCCGAGCAATTCTCGCATGTGCTTTTCTGGCGCAGATCGCGCAGGCCGGCTGCCGATCGGCCACCGGCGCAGCAGGCCGCATCTGCCGCCGACCCCAGAAGAGCTGGCGTTCTCGAAGTGTGTGCATACATGTACACTGATATTGTCGGAGTATTGGCCTCGCTGGCCTCCCCCGGTGCACAATGACAAATGCTGCCCCCCCCCCCGGGAATTGAATATGAGCTGCTGCGCTGCGCAGCCTGCGCTTCGCAACCGAGAATGTAGCTTTACAGGCGCTTTGCAATTTGCGCGCCGAAGCGCCGAATGCGCTGGCAGTTCCCTGCAGGCTTGCCTGAGCGCAGACCAGGAGAGGAAAAACACAAAAATTGATGTTGGTTGAGCTCTCATGATTGGCCTCTCAGGGGCCTCTGGGAGGCAGTTTTGAGGCCTCTTGGGAGTCGTGGTGGGGCCTCTTGGGGGCCTCCCGGGGCTTCTTGGGGTGCCTCTTGGGGGCCCCTTGGGACCTCTTGGGGGCCTCTTGGGGCCTGCGGGCCTCTTGGGGCAGAAGGCTGGACTTTTCGGTTCCTGGTTCCCTTCTCGGGCCCCTCTTGGGGCCTTTTTGGGGCCCTCTTGGGCCATCTTGGGGCCGACTTGGGCTCTCTTGGGCCCATCTTGTGGGCGCGTTGAGCCGTCTGGGGGCGATGTTGGAGGCGTCTGGGGCAATTCTGGGCGCTGTGAACCCCCAAACGCCGTACATGCGAAAAATGTACGTTTACCGAAGTGAATGGGACGATTTTTGCTTGTTGGGGCCCTCTTGGAGAGCCTCTTGGGGCTTTTTCGCGGCTTCTGGGGCCATCTGGACACCATATTGAGCGTCTTAGAACGATCTTTCGGCGACTCGGGGCCTCTTGGGCCGTGTAGGGGGCGTCCCGGGACGACTGTCCCGGCGCCCTCTTGGCGCGCTCTTGGAGCGCCCTGGGGGAGTCGGCCGGGCATCGGCCAGGCATCGGCCGGGCATCGTCTGGGGTACTTTTTGTTCGGGGGTCCCCAGGTGCCGCACCGCGCGCGCGAACTAGAAATATTGTTAACCTGTTGCTGGAGATCTTGCACGCCTCTGGCCCGTTGGGCTGGCGAATTGCTTTGCGTTGCTTTGCACTGCGTTGCATTGTTTTGCACTGCTTCGCATTGCGTTGCATTGCTTTGCTCTGCTTTGCATTGCGTTGCATAGCTTTGCATTTCGTTGCATAGCGGTCCGCCCGACAACCCGACCCGCCCGTTAGGGTCCAGCCTCCAGACCATCCCGCTAGGGTCCTTGTGCCGACGTCGTCGTCGTCGTCGTCGTCGCCGTCGTCGACTATTCATTCCGAAGTCAGAACGGTTGTCGATCGCCGGCGCTTTTGCCTCGGCGCCAGCTGTAGTTTTTCCCAAACAGTCCTTTATACTTAGGGGTTCTTACTTCTGGAAAGAGGAACTGGGCCTGTCTGGCGGTCTGGCGGCTCCATGGTCGCCGTCGCCGCCCCGTCGTCGCCTTGTCGCTGCCCGTCGTCTGGGCCTGCGTTGTTTTGCATTGCATTGCTTTGCATGGCATCGCTTTGCATCGCTGTGCATTGCTTGCGTTGCATCGCATCGCATTGCAGTCGCACTGCGGTGCAATCGCATCGCATTGCACTGCTTGGCATTGCTTTGCGTTTCTCCTCATTTTATGCTGTACGTTCCCTTTCATTGCTTGGCATTGTCTTGCATTGCTTTGCGTTGCTTTGCCTTGCTTTGCGCTGCTTTGCATGGCTTTATATGGCTTTGCGTTGCTTTACGTTGCTTTACGTTGCTTTGCATGGCGTTGCATTGCTTTGCATTGCTTTGCCCTGCTTTTTATTGCAACGCATTGCTTTGCATTGACTTGCTGTGTTTTGCTTGGCTTTGCTTTGCTTTGCGTTCAGTTGCATTGCTTTGCATTGATTTGCATTATTTTTGCTTGGCTTTGCTTTATAGATCGAAAGACGCCGACGGCGAATCTCCACCGCCCCCTGCCTTTTTGGAAGCGCCCACGAGGCCGAACGTTGCGGCCAGAGCTCGGCCAACCTGTCGGACCATAGGCTTCCCCAGCCGTTCTGGAAAGCATTCGGGGAACAGCTGTAGAGCATGAGGGCTGTCGAAAGGCCGAGAATCAGGAACCTCACAAACCCTCCCAATCCCCACGAAAGAAACATAACATTTTGGCCTCTGCGGGCCTCCTCTTCCCTCCTCCTCCTTCTGTACCTCCTTCTTGTGCCCCCCCATACAGGAGGAGGAAGAGGAGGAGAAGGAGGGAGGGGAGGAGGATGAGGGGGAGGAAAACCAGGGGGACCAGGATGAAGAGGAGGACGAGGAGGACGAGCGGGGGGAAGATGAAAGGAGGGAGATGAGGATGAGGAGGAGGAGGAGGAGGAGGAGGAGGAGGAGGAGGAGAAGGCGTGGGGCTACAAGTTTGGCGTGTTCTGGTGTGGGCTGAGTTCGTCCTGACGCCGAGCTTGCGTATGCAGCGTTGAGCTCCGCGCCCGGTTTGGCTTTCAGCTGGGTTTAGCACATCATAAGTTTGTAAACATATATGTATGTATGTATATATATATATAGATTTATGTTGTTTTCTCTCTCATGCATTGCTTGGTATTGCTGTGCGTTACTTTGTCTGGCTTTTCATTGCTTTGCGTTGCTTTGCGTTGCGTTGCTTTTCCTTGCTTTGCATTGCGCTGCTTAGCGTTGCTTTGCGTTGCGTTGCAGGGCATTGTTTTGCATTGATTTGAATGGCATCATGTTGCTTTGCCTTGCTTTGCGTTGCTTTGCTTTGCATTGCTTTGCGTTGCCTTGCATGGCTGTCTCTTGCTTTCCAATGCTTTGTCTTGATTTGCTTTGCGTTGCACTGCTTTGCATTGCTTTCCTTGCTTTGCATTGCGCTGATTTGCGATGCTTTGCGTTGCGTTGCATGGCATTGTTTTGCATTGCTTTGAACGGTATTGTGTTGGTTTGCCTTGCTTTGCGTTGCGTTGCTTTGCATCGCTTTGCGTTGCCTTGCCTTGCCCTGCGCTGCAGTGCTTTGCGTTGCCTTGCATTGCGTTGCTTGTCCTTGCTTTGATTTGCTTTGCGTTGTTTTGTTTTGCACTGCTTTGCATAGCTTTTGGATGCTTTGCTTTGCCTTGCTTTGCATTGCTTTGCTTTGCTTTGCTTTGCATTGCTTTGCCTTGCTTGGCATTGCATAGCTTTGCGGGCGTTGCATGGTTTTTTATTTAACCGCTTCGCTCATTCCGCCGCCCCATATTGCCTCGCCGCTGTCGTTTGTCGGAGTGTTGTTGTCAATGCGGTGCCGTTGGGCGGCTGCCATTTTTCCGAGGCGGAGGGTAGTGGGTCAGAGGCCTCATGGATGTTGGTTGAGCTCTCCGTAACCATTTTGGCTCAAGAAGGTTCGGCTCAACTCAAGGCTGTGGTTGCGCAGCCTCGCCCTTTAGATGCGGCGCGACTCTGGCCGCTGGGCAAGCCATGCCGCCCAAACATCTGCTGACCACCAAGAACACGTTCGTGGACTGCAAGTCGCCGTGGCTGGAGCAGGTCGAAGTGGCTGAGAAGCCCAGCTCCGATCCGGGCCCTTGCACCGAGTCCTCGGCCACCTTCTCGGGGTCGTCAGAGCGGGTCTGGGCGGACGTCATGCACGTTGTGGTCCGCTCGTCGCCCGCGGAGACGTCTGCCCCCGAGGGCCCTGCTGAGAGTTCGCGGGCGGCGGAGGAGGCGGAGGGGAGCCGTCGTGAGAGCCTTTCGAGGACGCAGCGCCGCCGATTGCAGCGCAAGAATGCGCAATATGCCGCCAGTGGGACGTCGCCTGCCTCCTCGTCGGCGCGCGGCTCGGACCCGAGGGAGTCTTCGTCTTCCAAGGAGAGCCCAGTAAATGAGCAGCACGTAGCAGCAGCAGCACGCAGCACGCAGTATAAGCAGCGCTTGTAGCAAGAACCGCACCAGAGACGTCGACCCCGCGTCGAAGAAGATGGCGCTATGAGGGACCCTCGCCTTCCAGTGTTTGGGCCATCTCCTCCTTCCATCCTCCGCCTCCATGCTGATTAGTTTGTCCTTCCTTATTCTCCTCAGCCTCCGCCTCTTCGCAGCTTTGCGAGAGGATGCGGCGTCAGGGCAGTTAGGGCGTGTGCGGAAGCTACAAATCAGAAATTCTGTGCTGATATCTAGTTTCCCCTCCCACCTCCGAACATCCATCCCCACCTCCCCGAGTATCAAGTTTTTCGGTGGCCATGGCCCACTTGCCACACTTCTGCATGTTTCACACTTGACAGACCACCTTTGAGGGCCTAAGAGGGTGGGGTAGCGAGGGCAGACGAGGGGCAAGGATGCAGCTGAGGGCCAAGGGGCCGGGCAGACTCGGGCGAAGCATCTTAGGGTCGAGCAGTCTCGGCCGAACAATTTCGGCCAAGATGCCGAGCACGCCCTGGCTGAACGAGGTCGGCCGAGCAATTCTCGCATGTGCTTTTCTGGCGCAGATCGCGCAGGCCGGCTGCCGATCGACCACCGGCGCAGCAGGCCGCATCTGCCGCCGACCCCAGAAGAGCTGGCGTTCTCGAAGTGTGTGCATACATGTACACTGATATTGTCGGAGTATTGGCCTCGCTGGCCTCCCCCGGTGCACAATGACAAATGCTGCCCCCCCCCCCGGGAATTGAATATGAGCTGCTGCGCTGCGCAGCCTGCGCTTCGCAACCGAGAATGTAGCTGTACAGGCGCTTTGCAATTTGCGCGCCGAAGCGCCGAATGCGCTGGCAGTTCCCTGCAGGCTTGCCTGAGCGCAGACCGGGAGAGGAAAAACAAAAAAAATGATGTTGGTTGAGCTCTCATGGTTGGCCTCTCAGGGGCCTCTGGGAGGCAGTTTTGAGGCCTCTTGGGAGTCGTGGTGGGGCCTCTTGGGGCCACTTGGGGGCCTCCCGGGGCTTCTTGGGGTGCCTCCCAGGGCTTCTTGGGGTGCCTCTTGGGGGCCTCTTGGGGCCTGCGGGCCTCTTGGGGCAGAAGGCTGGACTTTTCGCTTCCTGGTTCCCTTCTCGGGCCCCTCTTGGGGCCTTTTTGGGGCCCTCTTGGGCCATCCTGGGGCCGACTCGGGCTCTCTTGGGCCCATCTTGTGGGCGCGTTGAGCCGTCTGGGGGCGATGTTGGAGGCGTCTGGGGCAATTCTGGACGCTGTGAACCCCCAAACGCCGTACATGCGAAAAATGTACGTTTACCGAAGGGAATGGGGCGATTTTTGCTTGTTGGGGCCCTCTTGGAGAGCCTCTTGGGGCTTTTTCGCGGCCTCTGGGGCCATCTGGACACCATATTGAGCGTCTTAGAACGATCTTTCGGCGACTCGGGGCCTCTTGGGCCGTGTAGGGGGCGTCCCGGGACGACTGTCCCGGCGCCCTCTTGGCGCGCTCCTGGAGCGCCCTGGGGGAGTCGGCCGGGCATCGGCTAGGCATCGGCCGGGCATCGTCGGGGGTCCCCAGGTGCCGCACCGCGCGCGCGAACGAGAAATATTGTTAACCTGTTGCCGGGAGATCTTGCACGCCTCTGGCCCGTTGGGCTGGCGAATTGCTTTGCGTTGCTTTGCACTGCGTTGCATTGTTTTGCACTGCTTCGCATTGCGTTGCATTGCTTTGCTCTGCTTTGCGTTGCGTTGCACAGCTTTGCATTGCGGTGCACCACATAGATTCTCCTTTATTCTCCTTTCTAAGAGACTAATAGATTCTACCCCCCCCCCGGACTTATCGGTTACCCCGCGCGTGCTGTAAATTACATATGATTCTGACCACATGTCCATCCTAAATATGAATTCATACCATCCCAGCCAAGCCGGGTTCCCCCCCCCTGCGGTTCCCTTGTAAAAAACACTATGCGGTGACATGTTTTGTTCTAACGTATCACTTTTTCACGAATCCCTTGCAAAACATGGGACGAAGTGCACACGCGCGCGTCGTGGCGCGCGCATGCCGAAATCCTTAAAAAACCTTCGGTTCTGGAGAGATTTCAAAATTTAATTTCCAAAAAGCATATAAAACACATGGTTTCGCAACACTGATTCGAAAAAGAAACTTACGCGCGAGCTCTTGCGAAATCTTAAGAAAACCATCGGTTTTCCAAGATTTTCACAAAATGCTACCAAACGGGCTTCGCGCGCGCGCATGTCGAAATCTGTCGAACGCTCTTGCGCGTGTGCCGTCGCGAGAATCCTCTGCAAAAAATGAGACGAAGTGCAGACGCGCGCGTCGTCGCGGGCGTATGCCGAAATCCTTCAAAAACCTTCGGTTTCGGAAGAATGTCGAAATCGTGCGTCCAAAAAACCTACAAAAACACAAGGTTTCGCAACACGGGTTTTCAACAAAATTGTGCGCGCGCGCTCTTGCGTCGTCGTCGTCGTCGTCGTCGTCCTCCCTCCTTCTTCGTCGTCGTCGTCGTCGTCGTCGTCGTCGTCGTCGCCGTCGTCGTCTTCTGTCTTTCCTCGTCGTCTTTGGCGTCGTCGTCGTTTCCGTCGTCGTTGTCGCCGTGGTCGTCCTTCCTCCCTCGTTGTCTTCGTCGGCGTCTCGTCGTTGTCCCTCCTATTTCGTCGCCGTCGTCGTCGTCGTCGTCGTCGTCGTGGTCTTCACTCCTCCCTCGTCGTTATCCTCCTCCCTCGTCGTCGTCGTCCGTCGTCGGCGTCTCGTCGTCGTCCCTCCTATTTCGTCGCCGTCGTCGTCGTCTTCGTCGTCGTTGTCATCGTCGTCGTCTTCCCTCCTTCCTCGTCGTTGTCGTCGTCGGCGTTTCCGTCCTTCCTCCTTCTTCGTCGTTGGCGTCGTCGCCGTCTTCCCTCCTCCATCGTCGTTGTCGTCGTTGTCGCCGTCGTCGTTTTTTCTCCTCCCTCGTCGTCGTCTCCGTTGGCGACGTCGTCGTCGTCTTCGTCGTCGGCGTCGGCGTCGTTGTCGTCATCGTCGGTGTCGTCGTCGTCGTTGTCGTCGTAACATTCGGAGACGTCGTCGGTGTCGTCGCAGTCGCTGTCGGCGGCGCCGTCGTCGTCGATGTCGCTGTCGTCGTCGGCATCGGTATCGTGGCCAAGTGCCACGCAGTACCTACCGTCACGGTCTTGTCTGAAGATGTCTTGCGTCCAAGTTGCGGGTGGGAGGGTGGGATGTTTGCACGAGCAGTGGAGAGGACAGCTTCAAGACAGTCGAAGTGGCTAAAAGACTAATAGATTCTCCCCCCCCCCCCCCGGACTTATCGGTTACCCCGCGCGTGCTGTAAATTACATGTGATTCTGACCACATGTCCATCCTAAATATGAATTCATACCATCCCAGCCAAGCCGGGTTCCCCCCCCCCCCTGCGGTTCCCTTGTAAAAAACACTATGCGGTGACATGTTTTGTTCTAACGTATCACTTTTTCACGAATCCCTTGCAAAAAATGGGACGAAGTGCACACGCGCGCGTCGTGGCGCGCGCATGCCGAAATCTTTCAAAAACCTTCGGTTCCGGAGAGATTTCAGAATTGAATTTCCAAAAAACATATAAAAACACATGGTTCCGCAAAAGTGATTCAAAAAAAAACTTACGCGCGAGCTCTTGCGAAATCTTAAGAAAACCATCGGTTTTCCAAGATTTTCACAAAATGCTACCAAACGGGCTTCGCGCGCGCGCATGTCGAAATCTGTCGAACGCTCTTGCGCGTGTGCCGTCGCGAGAATCCTCTGCAAAAAATGGGACGAAGTGCAGACGCGCGCGTCGTCGCGGGCGTATGCCGAAATCCTTCAAAAACCTTCGGTTTCGGAAGAATTTCGAAATCGTGCGTCCAAAAAACCTACAAAAACACAAGGTTTCGCAACACGGGTTTTCAACAAAATTGTGCGCGCGCGCTCTTGCGTCGTCGTCGTCGTCGTCGTCCTCCCTCCCCTCGTCGTCGTCGTCGTCGTCGTCGCCGTCGTCGTCTTCTGTCTTTCCTCGTCGTCTTTGGCGTCGTCGTCGTTTCCGTCGTCGTTGTCGCCGTGGTCGTCCTTCCTCCCTCGTTGTCTTCGTCGGCGTCTCGTCGTTGTCCCTCCTATTTCGTCGCCGTCGTCGTCGTCGTCGTCGTCGTCGTCGTCGTCGTCGTCGTCGTGGTCTTCACTCCTCCCTCGTCGTTATCCTCCTCCCTCGTCGTCGTCGTCCGTCGTCGGTGTCTCGTCGTCGTCCCTCCTATTTCGTCTCCGTCGTCGTCGTCTTCGTCGTCGTTGTCATCGTCGTCGTCTTCCCTCCTCCCTCGTCGTAGTCGTCGTCGGCGTCGCCGTCCTTCCTCCTTCTTCGTCGTTGGCGTCGTCGCCGTCTTCCCTCCTCCATCGTCGTTGTCGTCGTTGTCGCCGTCGTCGTTTTTTCTCCTCCCTCGTCGTCGTCTCCGTTGGCGACGTCGTCGTCTTCGTCGTCGTCGTCGGCGTCGTTGTCGTCGTCGTCGGTGTCGTCGTCGTCGTTGTCGTCGTCGAAAACATTGGAGACGTCGTCGGTGTCGTCGCAGTCGCTGTCGGCGGCGCCGTCGTCGTCGATGTCGCTGTCGTCGTCGGCATCGGTGTCGTGGCCAAGTGCCACGCAGTACCTACCGTCACGGTCTTGTCTGAAGATGTCTTGCGACCAAGTTGCGGGTGGGAGGGTGGGATGTTTGCACGAGCAGTGGAGAGGACAGCTTCAAGACAGTCGAAGTGGGTTGCACCACATAGATTGCACGAGCTAGATTGCACCACATACATTGCAGAATATTGATTGGACCACTAGATTGTACCGCATAGATTGCAAGAAATCACTGTTTGGGCTTCCTGCTGGCTAGCATCCGACGGATCCCTCTGCATGTCCTCAGGGTTCCGAGTGAATCCGAATGTCTATGGTGGTCCTCGTCGTTGTTTTCGTCGTTGTCCTCCTCCTCGTTGTGCCCTCGTCGTCGTCGTCGCCGTCGTCGTCGTCGTCGTCGTCGTCGTCGTCGTCGTCGTCGTCGTCGTTCTTGTCGTAGTCGTCGTCGTTTTCGTCTTCGTCGTCGACGTCGTCTTTACCGTCCTCGTCGTCGTCGGCGTCCTTGTCGTCGTTCTCGTCTTCGTTGCCGTTGTTGTTGTTGTTGTCATTGTTTCGGTTGTCGTCGCAGTCGTCGTCGTCGTCGTCGTCGCCCTCGTCCTCGTCCTCGTCGTCGTCGTTTTCGTCACCCGTCATCATTGCGGGCTGGAAGGCTGGCAAGCGGGCGGGCGTGCGGGCGTGCGGGCGGGCGGGCGCGCGGGCGGGCGGGCGTGTGCGGGCGGGCAGGCATCATCGTCCCTCTTCTTCCCCTCCATCCTTGCTCGTCATCCTCCTCTTCCTCCTCCCCCTCCTCCTGCTTCGCCTGCTCCTTCTCCTTCCCTTCCTCGGCCTCCTCCGTCTCCTTCTCCTCCTCGCTCCTTCTTCTCCTCCACGTCCTCCTCCATGAAACCGCACCCTTGCGCGCGCGGGCGGGCGGGTCGGCGAGCGGGCGGGCGGGCGCGCGCGCGGACCGGCGGTTCGATGGGCGCGCGGACGGGCGGCGGGGCGCCCCGCCGACGGACCAAGCAACCAACCGAGCGCAGCTCCGAGAAGATACCTGGCGAGATCGGGCGAGAGGCTTTTTCTTTTGGATTCGGGTCCCTCCAGAATTGCTGAAGAGCAGCAGTCGGGTCGCTGTGCCAACCTGCTGGGCCTGGGGCGCAGTAAGCGCCATCCTGATCCAAACTGCCTGCTGCTGGGCAGGAGGGTTCTGAAAGCCAGGTGTTCAAGATAGGAACATGCTACATTCTTATCTTCCCACGCTACGTGGAATGGCCCAGGACTCATGATACGACACTCCGTTGATTCGTATTATCACTTGCCTGGCATTGCAGAAAAAAACAGATAACTCCGCCGCACCCAACCAACCTCCATTATCTTGCTGCGGGCTGCACTACCTGGACAATAGGTGAGGACGATGCCGCCCATGCTGGACGAATTTCTGAAACCTTTCTGAACAATTTCTTGCATGTGTCTTGTGCCAGGGGATTGCGGAGAAATTCCTGGAACAATCTCGAAATCCCAACGCGGGCCCACATGGGGTCAAAGGGATACCACACCCATATCTTCCAGCCCCATGTCTTTGTGGGCTGGCGCTCACTGTCGGGTTTGGGCGATCGCGCGCTGAGATGGTTGACGTACGCTGACGGGAAAGCGAATATGAAAAGCCTGTCGAGGAACACGCCGCGGGCTTCGGTGCTGATGGCCGCGCTCGAAGTGTGTCTTGTTCGCGGCTTGCGGCCACGCCATGTGCACAGAAAAAGGGTGAGCATAATTACAAGGTAGCGAGACTCCTAAGCTAGTGGGTTTTCAAAGTGGCTTGTAATCCCAAAGGCCATGCTTCTGGAATCTGGAGCCGTCGAAAAGATGTATATCTGGATTAAGTCATTCTTGCTCAAGCCATTTTGACCCATGTTTTTTTTGGCTCACGTCGCGATGCCTTGTCATTTCGGATGCTGGACATCGGTCGAGAGTCTCGAGAAGGCGCTATTTCTTTCCAAGCGTCGATCAATAATTGCGGTCGGACAAAGCAATGGAACGCAGCACTGCGGTTGCTCCGCGAAGGAATTCGATTAGGTGTGCAACTCGTCCCAAGCCACTACATCGCGACTGTCAGCGCATGCAGAAAAGGCGGACAATGGCAACACGCGCTGTCAGTGCTCAGTGAGATGTGGGAGGCGAAACTGGAGCCCAACGTCACCTGTACTACAATTCTGGTCGTTGCGCGTGCGAGATACGCCAGCACTGCGCCAGCTGCCCCCGACCGCCCAGATCGCCCTGGAGCGGCCCGGAGCGCCCTCGGGCCCCCCGGGGCCTCCCAAGAGGGCCCCAGGAGCTGCACAGGAGGACCCGCGCCGGGCTCCCAGGCGGCCAGCCCCCCCACCCCGGCCCCAAGATGACCCAATAGGCCCCTGGGACGGTCCACGAGGGCCCAGGAGGACCCCGATGACAGCCCCACGAGCCCCAAAAACAAGCCAAAGCATGCATTCTCGAAGGTCTTCCACGTTCTTCCCATGACGGGCCCAGAACAGCCACACTCGGCTCCAGGTCCTATCAAGATCGCCCCAAGATGACCCAAGATGCCATCACGAGCCCACCAAGACGGCCCTTGAGGGCCACAAGACGGCCCAGAACAGGCCTCTATGATTTCAAGTGGCCCCTCAAACGGGCCCCAGGAGCTGCACAAAAGTGCCGATGCCGGGTCCCCAGGCGGCCCCAGACCCCCACCCCGGCCCCGAGATGGCCTAAAAGGCCGCCTGGACGGTCCACGAGGGCCCAGGAGGATCCCGATGACGGCCCCACGAGGCCACAGAACAAGCAAAAACAATGAATTCCCCCATCTTTTCCACGTTCTCTCTTATGACGGGGCAAGGACGGACCCACACGGCTCCATGTCCTTCAAAGATCGCGCCGTGATGGCCCAAGAGGCCCTCACGAACCTACCAGGACGGCCCATGAGGGCCCCAAGACGATCCAGAACAGGCCCTGGAGAGCCTAACGAAGCTTCAATTTGCCCCCCAAGACGCCCCAGGAGCTGCCCAGGAGGGCCCTAATAAGACTCCCAGACGGCCTCAGACCTCCACCCTGGCCCCAAGCTTGCCCAAGAGGCCCTTGGGATGGCCCAAGCGGGCCCACGAGGATGCCGAAGACAGCACCACGAGGTCAAAATCAAGCACGCATTTTGTATTTTCGATTGATTTTGCACATTTTTCCCAATGATAAAAACAGAAAGGCCCCGCGCGGCTCCAGGCGCTTCTACGATCGCCCAAGATTGCCCACGAGACCCCGCCGACCGCACCACGACGGCCCACGAGGGCCCCATCCCCCCCAAGACCGGCCCCAGACGGCCTGATGGAGCTTCAGCTTGCCCCCCGACGCGCTCGCGGAGCTGCCCGAGAGGGCACCAATTTCAAACGAGCTCCAACACGGCCTCAGACCCCCACCCTGGCCCCACGACAGCCGTGAAGGCCCCCGGGACGGCCCCAGAGGGCCCCAATGTGGCCCAAGGGGGCCGCATAGTGATCCAAGAGGGCCCCGCGAGCGGTTGCAGAGAAGGGGGCCCCGGAATGGCCCCAGGGCACTCTCGAATGGCCCAAGGGGGACCCAGATGGCCAACGAAGGCACCCCAACACGTCTTGAGCCCCCTCCTGCAGAGGGCGAGCTCGGACAGAGTGGCTCGGGCGCCAAGGGGGCGGGCCTGGACGGTCGCCGGCGCTCCTGGGACGGCCCTAGCGCCCAAGACGGCTCTTGGACGCTCCAGAGAGCACCCGAAAGCCTCACGAAGAGTCCCACCAAGGCCCAAAGCTGCCCCCGAGACTTCCCCAAGGGCTCCAGGACCAGAAAGAGACCTCGAAGATGGCCGCAGAGCACCCCCATGACGGCCCGATAGGCTAAAATCGAGAATTGTCGCAGTTTTTTCCATTTCGGACCAGGAGACGCTCCAGAAGGCCCAGGGCGGCTCCAGACGGCTTCTGGGAGTTCCGAAATGGTTTCGCTCTCGCCCGAGACGCCTCCAGCATAGCTTCGTGGACGGCTCAAACGCCCCACAGACGCCCCGAGAGAGCCCCAAGACGGGCCCATAGAGCCCCACGGGCTCCCCGAGCCAGGCCCCTGGACGGCCCCAAGCGGGCTCCTGCACGGCCTCGGCCCCCCTTACAGCCGACCGCAGGAGCCCCATAGCAGCTCCCTGGGGCCCCACGAGCGCCCCAGACCGAGGCAGGAGGCCCCAGGAGAGCCCCAAGTCAGGCCCATGGAGCCCCACGGGCTCCCCGAGCCAGCCCCCCTGGACGGTCCCACGCGCGCTCCCGCGTGGCCTCGGCCCCCCTACAGCCGACCGCAGGAGCCCCATAACAGTCCCCCGGGGCCCCATGAGTGCCCCATACCGAAGCAGGATGCCTCCAGGACGGCCACAGAGCACCCCCATGACGGCCCCACAGCCGCCCGACGCCGAAACTCCTGAACCTCATGAGCTAGGACCAGTGAAACGAGTAGGTCTCCTACCAGTTCAACGAGGACGGCGGACCTCTCGCCGCTCCGTCCTGCCGTTCCGTGCCCCCCCCGTCGTCGCCGTCGTCGCCGTCGTCCTCGTCGTCTTTCCTACATGGCGGGAGGAAGCGCGTGCCAAACCTGCGGGGACTCATGTGGATAAACTCGCCCCTTTACGGCCTCACCACGGGGTCGAATCGCCCGCGACGGCGCAAGAGGCGCCGCAGAGGGGTTGTAAGACGGTCCAAGAGCGCTCCAAGACGGCCTCAGTTGGTGCCGAGACGGGCCTTGACGCTCCAAAGACCTCCGAAGGTGGCTGCAAGACCGTCCAAGAGGTCCCAAAGACGTTCCGAGACGGCCCCGAGAGGACGCCAACGAGGCAAAAATAGTCACATTCCTATTGTAAAGCGTACATGTTCAGCATATCCGCCTTTTGCGTTGATACACGGTCCAGGACAGACCACGAGGCCTCCCCAAACCCCCCAAAGCCGACCCAAGCTGCCCCCAAGAGGGCCCCAAGACGGTGCAAGAGGGCCCAACAACGGCCCAAGGGGGCCTTCAAACGGCTTGAGAGGGCCCCAAGACGGCTCCAAGAGGGCTCCAAGAGGGCCCGAAGGGGCTCCCAAGAGGGCCCCAGGAAGCCCTCCAGAGAGCCCCAAGACGGTCCAAGGCTTCTAGGACGCCCCAAAGACCTCAGAAGGTGGCTCCAAGACGGTCCACGAGGCCCCAAAAACGCTCCGAGAGGCCCCGAGAGGACGCCAAAAAGGTAACAATGGTTTTTATTCCGATGGGGAAACGTACATTTTCAGAATATCCGCCTTTTGCGTTGTTACACGGTCCAGGACAGACCAAGAGGCCTCCCAACAACCCCCAAGACGACCCAAGCGGCCCCTAAGAGATCCCCAAGACGGCGCAAGAGGGCCCAAAGACGGCCCAAGGGGGCCCTCGAACGGCCTGAGAAGGGGCCCCAAGATGGCTCCAAGAGGGCCCGACGAGGCTCCCAAGAGGGCCCCAGGAAGCCCTCCAGAGAGCCCCAAGACGGTCCAAGGCCTCTAAGACGGCCCAGAGACCTCAGAAGTTGGCTCCAGGACGGTCCAAGAGGCCCCAAAGACGTTCCGAGACGGCCCCGAGAGGACGCCAAAGAGGCCAACATAGTCACATTCATATTGGCAAGCGTACATTTTCTGCATGTCCGCCTTTTGCATTGTTACGCGGTCCAGTCCCAAACCCCCCAAGACGACCCAGGCGGCCCCCAAGAGGGCCCCAATATGGTCCAAGAGGGCCCAAAGACGGCCCAAGGGGGCCCTCAAACGGCCTGAGAGGGCCCCAAGACGGCTCCAAGAGGGCTCCAAGAGGGCCCGACGAGGCTCCCAAGAAGGCCCCAGGAAGCCCTCCAGAGAGCCCCAAGACGGTCCAAGGCCTCCAAGACGCCCCGTGACGGCCCAAACGGGCCCCAAGAAGTTCCAACATTGAAACAGAACGGCCCAAACGGGCCCCTGAAAGGACCCAAAAAGTCCACCACAAGGACCACTGAGACAGCGCACAGACGCCAAATAAAAGAGCGATGGGTACAGTTCAAAAGCTTTTCAATCCAAGGCTCCCAAGAGCGAACTGTGGCACAGTAAGCTCTTCAACCCGAGGCTCCCGAGAGCGAGCCGCAACGTCAAAAACTCGGAAACTGGAGCCCGAAGCTATCATCATCCCCTCAATTCTGGGATAAGTGCGTGGGCGTGGGTCAATCGCTTTCTCGGCCTCCAGCGGCGTCGGCACTGCCTCCGGGTCCCTGTGGGCTCTGGGTCCCCAAGACGTCGCAGAGACAGCCTTCGGTAATGTCCGAGATGGCCAGAATTGGCCCCGCCAGCCGCCAGACAGGGCCCCCGAGAGATCTCAAGCGGTTCCAAGAGGCCTCCAACATGCCCCTAGACGCCCCAAGAGGCCTTGCAGGAATTGTCCAGAACACCACGGCAATTGCAAAGCTTTCCAACACCCAAAGGAAGATGTATGTCTTTTGCTTCGCAGGCTTTTCGACGCGAGACAGCTCCAAGACGGCTTCGGGGGAGACGCTTGGGCTCCTTGCGGGCCACCTTGGGCCCTCTGGAGGCCCCCATCGAGCCTCCTGGGTTGTTTTCGGGGCCTCCTTGGGCCGTCTCGGTCCGTCTTCGGGCCGTCTTAGGGCCCTCTGGGCGGTCTTTGACTGCCTCAAGAGAGCCCAAGGGCGGCCCTGGAGGGCTCCCAGAATATTACAGAAGGCTTCGGAGAGCTTTTGGACGGCCCGACACGCCCTCCAGAGAGCGCCACGACGGCCCAACAGACCCACAGAGAACCCCGAGACGGCCCAGGACGGCCCCAAGAGGGCCCAACGATGCCCCCAATAGTTTCGGCCATAGGGCCCCCCAGCACGGCCTCCATATCCGGCAGCTCACAAGCCAGCAGCGGCAGCAATTAGTAGCTAGCAGCAGAAAACAATCAGCCGCTGCATTGCCCGCGGCCGGCTGGCGGCCATCCCTGCTGCCGTGGCGTGCGGCAGAGGGTCAGTTGCCACCGCTAGGCCTGCCAGCATGCTGGCAGTGACGTCGGGAAGACAACTGTCTGGCTACCACCTATGCGCGCAAAACAGCAGGCAAGCAGGCAAGCGATCTCATCCTTCTGCACGCGGGCAAGCTGTCGTGGGCGTAAATCCACGGGTCAGCTCTAGTCTTTACTACATTGCAGGAGCACGTGGGTGCCAGAAGGGCGCAGGCTCAAATGTCTCAAAACCGCCCTGGGCTGGCCCCGGGCCGCCCCGGGCCGCCCAGGCAGGCCCCAGGACATGTCGAGAGGGCCCCCAGAAGCCCCCAAGACGGCCCCGGAGAGCCCCGGCACGCTTAAAGATGGGCCCAAGACGCCCGAGATTCGCCCCAGGCGGCCCAAGAGGCGTCCAAGACGCCCGAAGAGGCCTCCCAAGAGGCCTCCCAAGAGGGCTCCGAGCGACAGAAATCGTCGATTTCTATTGTGTTTTTCGATGTTTTCGGCCTCCTCGCCTCGTCGGCTTCCCGACGCTCCAAGACGGCCCAAGAAGCCCCCCCGACCGCTCCAAGACGGCCGAAGAGGACCCCAAGAGAGCCCCAAGACGGGCCAGGAGGGCCCCCAGACGGTCCCAAGACGCCCCAGGACGGCCCCCAGGACGGCCCAGGAGGCGCCCAAGACGGCCCAAGAGGCACCCAAGACGACCCCAGGAGCGGCCCAAGACGGCCCACGACAGCCCAAGAGGCGCCGAGGCGGGTCTCAGACGGCCCCAAGACGGCCCAAGAGGCACCCAAGACGGCCCGAGAGGGCCCTAAGAGCCCCCCCGGGAGGCCCAAACGAAGGCCGAAGAGGCTCCGAAACGGCCCCCACGAAGCCTTCAGTGCCTTCAGAATTCCCTCCAGGAGCGGGGGAGCGGACGAGAGGCGACAGGCATATCGCAGGCAAAAACGCCCCAAGAGATCCCCAAACGGCCCCCACGAAGCCCTAAGTGGCTTCAGAATTGCTTCCAGGAGGGGGGGAGCGGACGAGAGGCGACCGGCATATCGAAGGCACAAAAGAACAATGTTGGACGCTCCGAGGGCCTTCGATGTTTCTCCGTTGGGGAGAGTCGTCGTAGGATCGACGATTGCCGACCGAGGGCAGCGAATCCAGTGGAGGCCCAAGAGGCCCCCAGGAGCCTAAAAGAGATCCCCAAGAGGTGCCACGGGGCTTAAAAACTGCTTCGAAGCGAGGGGGGCGGACGAGGGGACCGCCTCAGGAGGTTTTGGACGGTTTTGGGCCTCAAAATCGTCCGCTTTACGATGGTTTTGGAAGGATTTTGGCCTTCTCGCCTTTTCCGCTTTCCGACGCTCGAAGACGGCCCAAGAGGCCTCCAAGAGCGCCCCAGAACGGCCCAAGAGGCTTCCAAGAGCGCCCCAAGACAGCCCAAGAGGGCCCCAAGACGACCCAAGAGACGCTCAAGACGGCCCACGAGGGCCCGAAGACAGGCCCAAGAGGGGGCCAAGAGGGGGACCACGGACCGAAAATCCGAGCCTTCCGCCCCAAGAGGGCGCCAGGAGGCCCAAACAGGCCCCCAAGAGGCCCCAAGGGGCCGCCAAGAATCCCCCGAAGAGGCCCCAGGAGGCTCCCAAGGAGCCCAAACGAGGCCCCTACAGAGGCCCCAACAGCTTCCAAAATGGCCCCGAAGAGGCCTCGAGCCCGCCTCCGAGCTTCCTCGCCGCGAGGGTGCCAACACGGCCCCAGACCGGCCCAGGACGGCCCAAGGCGCGCTCAAGACGGCCCAAGACGATTCCAAGACGGTCCCAGGAGGGTGCGCCCAGGACGGCCCAAGGACGCGCCCGTTCGGGGCCTCAAGACGGGCCAAGATGGCAAGAGAGTCCCAGCTGGCAAAAATCGTTAATTTTCCATTGTTTACTGTTACACCCTTTGCGTTTCCCGCCGTTTCGGCGGTCCGATGCACCAAGAGGCCCCAGAAAGTCCCAGGAGGGTCCGAGGAACCGCCCAGGAAGGCCCCAAGACGGGCCAAGACGGACCCAGCACAACCCAAGGCGCGCTGCGACGGCTCAAGACGGCTCCAAGACAGCCCCAAGAGGGTGCCAACACGGCCCCTGCTGGGCCCAGGACGGCCCAAGGAGGCGCACAGGAGGGGCCCAAGACGACTCCAAGGCGGCCTCCTCACGGTCCCAGACGGCTCCAAGACAGCCCCACGAGGACCCCGATGGGCCCAGGACGGCCTACGGACGCGCCCATGAGGGGCCCACGACGAACCAAGACGGCCCCATCAGGGCAAACGGCGCCCTCAAGACGGGCCTAGACGGCTCCAAGACGGCCCTTTGAGGGAGCCAACGCGGCCCCACACCCTTCGGGCGCACACTTGGGGGGGCTGGGAGCTTGCGACAAGTCTCCCACATTCATTGTCCTGCCCCATTCTGTTCGCCTGGAGGCCTCCTCCAACCCTGTGGGCGAACAAGAGGAATCCCAGCGGGACGCCAACCCTGGGGCCCGTGGGCCCCGCGCCGCTTGGGCAGAAGACGAACGCCGGGTCTGACAGGCCAGCTACCGCCCCCCTTTGCCCGATATGCTGTGCCATTCTGTTCCCCCAGGGGCCTTGGCAAACTCTTCGGGCCAAGCAGACCGGACCCCTGGGACAGCAGCCAATTGATATGACCCTGGGACCTCTCCGCATTCTTCGGACGAGCATCTGGGGGGCCCAGGAGATTCGGACATGTCTTCCCCATTCCTTGCCCTGTCCCGTTCTGTTCGCCCGAAGGCCTCCACAGACCCTCTGGGCGAACAGAATGGGACATGGCGAACAAACCCTCCCGTTGGCGGTGATGCGACTGGATCGCACCATCAAGGCGCGCCCGGAGGTGATGGCCGACCCAACAGCGGTTTCTCTTAAGAGTTCACTGGATTTCAAATTTTCTTGAAGCTCTCTTGGGCCCTCCCTGTAGATCCTTGCGAGCCTCCCCGGCGCTTTCGGTGGCTTTCCCCGATGGCCTCCCGAGCCCTTCCCCGAGCGCTCCTGAGACGCCTCAGATGGGCTTCGACTTCGACGCACATCCCCGAGAGACTTCGAAACTGTCCTCAATAGGAGGGGGGTGAACGAGCAGTGCGCTGGGCCAAGCTGCTGCAGCGCTGCAAGAGCTCGGACACGAAGGCGCGGTCTCGCTGCCGCCGCCCGAGCCGCCGCCGTGTTTGTAGATTTTCGGTGCAATCTGCGCCGTTCCTCCGAGAACCATTCCAGAAAGGTGTCGTGGACGGAGTCCACGGGTCAGCCCTAGTCAGCTACAGCGCTGGGATCAGCGCGTGCGAGAAGGGCCAGCAGTGGCAGCCGGCGCTGGCGTTGTTGAGCGAGATGTGGGATGTGAACGTGGATCCCGACGTCATCTCTCCTACCATGGCTGCCCCAGCGCTCGCGGATGGAGAGAGCGGTGGTAGCGGACCGGCCTGGCGGCCCCTGCGAGCCCCAGCAGGCCCCGGCGCGCTTCCAAGATGCACCAAGAGCGTTCCGAGACGCACCAGGAGGCCCCCAAGAGGGCTCCCAGATGCCCGAAGACGGTCCAAGAGGGTCTGCGAGACGCGCCCAGAGCGCTCGACAACGCCTCAGACAGCCTCCAGACGGTCCAAGAGGCTTCCGAAACGCTCCAAGTGGGCTCCATGACGAGCCCCAAGAGAGCCCGAACATTGAAAAACCGCCCCATGTCCTCGGGAAAACGTTCATTTTCGCAGTTCCCGGGCTTACCCTCTTCATAGCGCCCGAGACGGCCATACAGGGTCCCAAGATGGCCCCAGGACGGCTTCTGAGGCGCCCCTGGCGGCCCACGGGGGACCCACGACAGCCTCAAGAGCGGCCCAGGACGGCCCGAGACGACCCCCAGACGGTCCCCAGACTGCTTCAGAGACGCCCAAGACGGCCCCAGATAATCCCCGGACGGCCTCAACACGGCCCAGGAGGCACCCGAGACATCCCCGGAGGGCCCCAGGAGGCTTCCAGAGGCCGAGAAGAGGCGCCGAGAGGCTCCTCAACGACCCCCAGAGGCCCCAAGATGACGGCCCAAGAAGCACCAAAGACAGCACCAACAGCAGCCAAAGATGGCCTAAGACGGCCCGAAGACGGTCCCAAAACGGCTCCAAGCGCACTATGGGGCTCCTCGGCCCTCCTGACGCTTGTTTGGCGCTCCCTGCTGG